TCCAAATCTAGAGTGTCTCAGCTTGTACCTGTGATGCCATCCCTGACATGTCATCTGATTGCCTCTCTTTGAAACTCCACTTAGGGGTCTCACTGCCTCACCAAAAAGACCATTTCTAAGTTTTTCTTTATGTGAGGGAATATTTGCTATCTGTAACTTCTACACATTGATGAATGTAAGCTCTCTGAGGGCAAGAATCATTTCACTTCAGCATTTGTATCCCCATGACTTGACACGTCATTGTTGTTGTTGTTGTTGAGTTGTTTCAATTTTGTCCAACCCCATTTGGGTTTTTCTTGGCAAAGATCCTGGAATGGTTTGCCGTTTCCTTCTCCACCTGATTTTACAGATGGGGAAACTGAGACAAACAAAGTGAAATGACTTGCTCAGGCTTACGCAGCTAGTAAATGTCTGAAGCCAGATTTGAACTCAGGTATTCCTGAATCCAGGCCTGGCACTCTATCCACTGTGCCACCTTGCTACCCACTTGGCACATAGTAGAGGTTTAATAAATCCTTGTTGATTGATTGATCACAGGTCTGCCATCTGGATCTAAAAAAAAATAAGGCTAACTTCCACAGTACAGCCCCTCCAAAATGTGAGCCGCCTAGGTGACTTGGTGTACAGAGTCCTGGTCTTGGAATCGGAAACACTGGCATCCTCCCCCAGACACTCAATGGATGTGTGACCCTGGGCAAGTCATTTAACCTACCTGTCTCATCTATAAAATAGGAAAACAAATAGCACCTGCATCCCCAAATTATTGTGAGGATCAAATGAGATACAAGTAAAGTGCTTTGCAAACTTGTATAAATGCCTGCTATTATTAACTTAACGATGAAGAGCCATGGTCATGGAGAAAGAAAAGAAATGACCACTGATTGGATATGAAGGGTGACAAAGAGTGAGGCATGGAGGACGAAGGAAACATAAATAGAGCAATTAGAAAGCCACCTAAAAGGAAGGATCAGCAGTTCTATTTGAGATATATTGAGTTTGAGATGGTCCTGGGACATCTAAGTGGAGGTGTCCAGGAGGCAAAGGGTGATGAAGGACTAGAGATCAGGAAGAAACAAGAGATAAAGAGACAGGTATACAGATAGGTAGGGAGAGAGAGAGACAGAGAGAGAGAGATGGATGGATGGATGGATGGAAGGAGTGAGCATTTATTAAGTGCTTACTATGTACCAGGCACTGTCTTCCGAATAGGATAATTGAATCTATGAGAAGGTCAAAGAGAGTGAGAGGAAGAGACAGACAGACTATATTTATAAATATGTGTGTATATATGTGTGTGTGTGTGTGTATGCATATTGTTGTCTCCCTTGATAGAATTTAAGCTTCTTGAATGAAAAACTTCTATCTTTGCCTTTGTATCTCCAGAGCTTAACAAATCGTGGAGTGCATAATGTGTGCTTATTGTTTTATTGAAAAGCCTGTTGATGATGCACCCTCAAACGTCTGCAGTTGTTCATAACAAGAAGCACCAAGTGTCTTGACATCCCTCCTCTTCCCACAAACACTAGTGTGTGCCATCTGAGTAGAACACAACCTTGACTCAAATCTCACTTCCTTTAGTCCCCAGGAATCCTAGAAATAGAAAGACTAGAGATTTGCAGTTGACAAACTGTGCCTATTTTGGAATAGTGGGGTACAGGGGATACAGGAGAATAGTCAGATGTAAATTTTGTTGTTCTACTTATTGTATTCTGTAGCCTATAGTTTTCCATATCCACAGATGGGGGAAAGAAACCCAAAGAGTCAATGACTTGTGACCCTAAAATGAGGAAGCGATTAGATCCATCATCATCATCATAGCTAACATTTATATAGCACTTACTATGTGCTATATAAGACTTTTTTTTTACAAATATTAACTCATTTGGTCCTCACAACAACCCTGTGAGATAGGTGCTATTATTATCCTCATTTTACAGTTGAGGAAACTGAGGCATATAGGCATTATGTGACCTGCCCAGGGTCACATAGCTAGTAAGTGTCTGAAGCCAGATTTGAACTCAGGTCTTCCTTATTCTAGGCCCAGCACTCTGTCCACTGCACCACCAGCTGCCTCTGGATGGCCCAGAGATATTTTAAACTCAACATGTCCAAACCAAATTCATCTTTCCCCATAACCTTCCCCTCTTCTTAACTTTGAAGGTGTTACTATCCTTCTAGCAGCTCAGCTTCATAGCCTAGGCATTATCTTGAACTCCTCACCGTCCCTCAACCTACATATCCAATATTCCTACCTTTACAACATTTCTCCCATCCTGACCCATCTCTCCATTCACACAGTTACTACCTTAATTCAGGTCGTCATCATCCCTGCCTAAATCATTGCAAAGCCACTCATGGGTCTTCCTGCCTCAAGACTCTCCCACTCTGGTATATTCGACACTGTGCCACCAAACAAATTTTCCTTAGTGCACATCTGACTATGCCACTCCCCTACTGAACCAGTGCCAGCAATTTCCTGGTGCCTCTAGGGGAATAGATGAGCTTCTCTGCTTGGATTTGAAAGTCCTATGTCACCAATATCACCTGTATCAACTTATCTTTCCAGCTTCATTGAAAAGTACTTGCCCTCCCTCCCTCTGCAACCTGGACAAGCTGGCCTTCTCTCTCCATCTCCCATCCTTCTTCCTCTTCACTGGCCATCTCAAGTGTTCAGAATACACGCCTTCCTCACTGCCACCTCGTTGAGATGCTGCTCAGACACCATCGCCTAGATAAGATCTTTCCTGACGCCCCTCAAGGGCAAGTTCTTCTTCTTCACAAACTACCTTGTGTTTAACTACTTAGATAAATTTTCATGTATTCACTTTATTTTTATACTGTATATAATTTAGATGTGTTTGCTATCTCCCCCAATAGAGTTTAAGCTCTTTTTAAGGAAGGATTGGCTCATTCTTTGTCCTTATATCCTCAGAGCCTAGCACAGAGGCTGACCCATAGTTGGCACTTAACAAATACTTATTGTTTGACTTGGTGATTAAAGAAGCAGGAAACTCTTAGCCAGTCGCTTTTGCAACTGCCACTCTGTTATTCTCAAGACACAGATGAAGAGGAAAAAACAAAATGCAAAAGGCAGTCCAATGAAGATTCTTGAGCAAAGGAGTAACACGGTCAGATTAAGAGTGAAGAAATATTTGATGGTCAAAATAATGTCACAACGGCTTAGGTATTTAAAATGCCTTTACTCTGAAGAAGAATTGGCAAACTCTTGAGCTTGACATAAAGGTCTGCATTTTCTGGATCAAGCCACCTTTCCAAATGTATTTCAGGTCATTCCCCTTCATCCCTTATGTTCCAGCCAGTCTGGTTTAGTTGCTGTTCCTTTCTCACCTCCATACCTTGGCATAATCTGAGCTCCCTCCCTGCAATGTACAACCTGTTACTGACTCTCCAGCTCCTAGAGCATCACATTCTGACTTCCATTCACCTTTCCAGAAACTCCGTATTATACCCCTTAATGAACTCTATGGTCCAGGTCAACTAGACAATCAGCTATTGCCCAAAGCTAGCCTGCCATCTTTTCCTATCTCTATACCTTTTCCCAGGCTGGCTCATAGGCCCTTTTCCTCACCTTTGCCTTGTAGAATCTCCAGCTTCCTTCAAGGCCTAGCTCACACGCTATGTTTCATAAAACCTGCCCTTAATTCCCCCAATTTTCCAAGTGTTTTCCACCCTGAAACTACTTTGCATCTGTACCTGTGCATGTGATTTGCCCCCCAGCAAACGTTATGATCCTAGAGGTCATGGACTGCACCATTTTTTATAACACTTAAGTCGATCGAATTGAGTTGGGTTTAATTGAAGTGAATCCCCTCTGGTCTATCTGTAGTCAGAGAACCCTAGGGATGGTCCCTATGGCTCTTGTATACTGTTAGTTCATGTGCAGATTACAAATAGGCCACATACAGGTTTAACTCTCTTCCAGGAACAAGCAGGATGTTTTTGAAACGCTCAAAAGTTTTTGGTTGGTAAAGCAACAGTAGTCAGGAGTGTTGGGCTCTCATCTGTGTCCTCTCCAACCCATTCTCTATGTAAGCTTGGACAAGTCAATGTCCCAGTCTATAAAATGGGGGTGAGGGGAAGGTGCATACTAAATTATTTCTCAGGTTCTTTCCACGTGTAAACATCAAGGAGTTTCTAAATATTCTCTTTTCTGTGTTTTACAATTACAATTTACATAAAACTTGGGGGGTGGAGGGGTTCCACACCTGTGATTTCAATTGTGTAGGGACCCCTGAGATGTATACTTGTTCCACTAATGCAGTTTTGAAACTCATTAGTGGCTATAGTTCTTGAGGAGTAGCTCTAAAGGAAGGGTAGTGGGAGTTTGACTAGGCATGAGTGGCTCTCAGGACTGCCCCATAATGTGTCCTCACTGTCAAACAAAAAATGTTTGACAGTCATTGTCTTAGAGAACTGCGATGTGTGGTAAGAGGTTAAAGGATTTGACCAGGGTCAAGAATGTAATGTTAGAGAGAGGCCCGAAACTTAGGCCTTACTTACTTGAAGGCCTTTCAATCCTCATGCTAACTCTTGGGCTTATACTATGGGCAGAAAAATCAGATTTTCATTAAATCAGTCACACATAAAATATTAAGTGTGATTCATAATCTTACCCAATTTGCATTATGACACCAAGTTTATAGCTGGGTTTCTTAACCTTTTCTCTGTCATGGACCCCTTGAGAAGTCTGGCAAAACCTATGAACCCCTTTAGAATGATTTTTAAATGTATAAAATAGAATACATAGAATTGCAAAAGAAACAAATCACATCAAAATATAGTTATCAATATTTTATCAAAACAAAATCACAGACTCTCAGATTAAGAACCCCTGCTTTGTAGTATTAAATTATAGCATTGAATTACTCTAAATATTGAAAATTATCAAAATATTTATATACTATGAAATTTGTGTACTATTAAAATATTGCTTGAGATAGCCCCCATTTAACATTTTAGTGTTTATCATATTTATACAGACCTTCAAGGATTTCATGTGCTGCCTCAGACAGTTGACTGGTCATCATTCCCTCCCCAACAATATTTGCTGACACTTGGGTTCAAAAACAAAGAAGATGGAAAATTTTTGGAAAAAATGTCAAGTAGGAAGCTGCCCACATTTACAGGTAAGTCAATAAGCATTGGAATTGTCTTCTAATATTGCTCTCACCTGTTCTCATCTACTCTGTTGACTACCGACAATGAGATTTTCATTCTCTGACACCCAACATGGCCCTGGACTTCCTTTCCCTCTCCTACTTCACCACAATGCCTCAAGACTGAATATTTTAGGAATTCAAGGTAATATCAATATGTATTTTGCAAAACAGCATCAAGTATGCAATAGAGAGCTAGATTTTAAGTCAAAAAGCCCTGAGATGCCCTATGACTAAGCAACCCTTGGCAGAACCTCATTTTCATCATCTGCAAAATGGGAATCAAAATAGTCCTGATCTTACAGAGTTGTTGTGAGTGAAGTAAGAAGATGGTTGTCATGTATTTTTGTAAACTTTAAATCCCTATGTAAATGTCAGCCTTGATTATACATAGGATTGTAGATTTGGAGCTGGAAGGGACTGGGACATCTGTCTCTACTCAGAACAATTATGATTAGTATTCTCATTGATGCTTTTTTAAAAATTAAATTAAATTAAAGGAAAAGGCGGGGAATGTCATAGCGCCAAAAAATAATAATAACTGCTAGTATTATTATTATTATTTAGCACTCTATTTTTGCAAAGCACTTCACAAATATCATCTCACTTTATCTTCACAACCCTGGGAGGTAGGTGTTATTATCATCCCTATTTTACATATGAGGAAACTGAGGCAGACAGAAATTAAGTGACTTGCCCAGGGTCACGCAGCTAATAATGTCTGAGGCAGGATTTGAATTTTGGTCTTCCTAATTCCAGACTCAGTGCTCTAAACACTGTACACCTGGCTACCTATGGAGAATCTGGTCTTTAACCCTTCCTTTCCTTCTGGAATCTAGAGTTATAAGGAAGCTATAATCTAGCTCCTTCATTTTACAGATGAGGAAACTGAGGCCCAGACAAGGTGAAGTCTCTTGCCCACAGTTATGCAGGTTGTAAGTAGCAAGGTCTTGGGATTCTAACCCAGGTCCTCTGCCTCGAATTTTCTAGCCTCCTTTTCTCATTCCTCTGATTCATTGGTTTTTGGTCCCAAAAGGCATAAGCAAACAAATGAACCTGAAGGGACATTGGAAGTCATTAATTGGCATCTGCTCATTTGGATAATGTCTGGGAAGAGCAAGGCAAACACTAGATGCATTTATGACAACCTTTTCCTTTTCCCAAAACTCCATAAGAGCCTATTCCACACCAAGATGGGACTTATGTAACTGTCTGCTAGATCTTTCAGTCATGGCGGGGGAGCTAAAATGCATAGATGGCAGTTCTCCAAAGGACAGCATCTCCTCCAACTGCTCCGCTGTTGTGTGCAGGGAGCGGGAATGTGCCTAGGTTCGCTAGTAAAGATTTCATATCTATTAATGTTAAGGTATTTTTTATAGCCTGGTAAAAGGGGAAAAAAGCACTTTGAAATTGAAGGGATAGAAAACAGCATAAAAGTTTATTGTTACAATTTTTAGAGCACAAAACCCCCTTCAGTCCGTTGACCAGGGAAGATGCGACGAGACACATGGAGACTATGGGGAAGAGAATCCTGCCAATATTGGATGTCATCCGAAGCACTAAATTAAATGTAGGTATATGAGTCGGCTGTGTCTGAGTCCAAACGCAAAACGAGTATGAACCCCTAGACAGAAGAAAGATGTGTGATGTGTTACAAGAGTGGATTTCAGAAGCCTCTCTCTGCAAATCCCATTTATTAAACAAAGCCGGTTTTAGCTAATGATTTTATTTACTTTACATTTTAAAAGATTACAACTGCTGTGCTCCACAGTTGCTAACATTTATTACATTAGCAGCAAGCTTAAGGAACCCTTCATTTGGTGTTCTCCTCTGATCTAATCCCGGATTGCCACGAATTTCTCATTTCAAACCAATAACAAAATTTTAGCAAGCACAATGTTTTCACTATTTCATTTGTCAGTCTATTACAACCTAACCATCTCATTACCTGCATGGGGAATTAGATGATTTTTCAGGACAATGCCTCCATACCATCCTGATGAATTGGAGGTCCCTTTTAAAACTTGGCCATTTATCTTCATACATCCTGAACGTAAATTATCTAATCCCACTCTATGATCAAGGGAAATAGATGCTGGTTTTCTTTAGTGGTTGGTTTGCTTTTTGTTGTTTGTGTTTTAGAGACTGTATGCTCTAACGGATAGAGTGAGGAAGACTTGGGTTTGAATGCCACCTTGTTGGCTTTGTGACCTTCAAAAAATCACATCACTTTTCTGTAAAAGGATGGGGTCTAGCCTGATAACTTATAAAATCCCTGTAAGTCTATGAAAATAACCTGGACTGTTCAGCAATTTCTAAATTGTTGTGCTGAGAGAATATCAAAGAAATGCCTCATTAGCGCACCCTAAGAGCAATCGATTTCCCCTCTTTCAAGAGTTTGAAGGTTGAAAGAGTCAGAATTTCTTTTCTTGGGGCTGTTGTATTCAGTCACAGATTTTATGTTCTTGCCTTCTGAGGGAACTGACACCTTGCTCCTTATCTGTCTTTCAGAGTTGTCTTCATGAGTTTACTTGACCAAAAAAAAAAAAATTCTCATCACCCAATCACCAGGTCCTGAACATCTCCAAACTTGGAGAAGACCTATGGCCACTCAGATGCTGGGCACCTTGAGTGTCCCTAGGTCCGGATGCTGACCGCTTGGCTAATGCGCCTTGGTAATACAATTTTGAGAACACTGGACCGCCTCTGTGCCTCAGTGAAGCCAAAATGGGACTTTGAGTGTCAGCCAAAAAAGCCAATATCTGCTCATCTTCTGAATAACATCTTTGGGCTTTTGAAAAAGTCCTAAACCCTCCGGTTTCTGCATGTTAAGTTAAACAACTCGGGAATAGGGTGCTTTAAAAATCTAGTCCTCCCACCCAGTTTATCTGGTTCTGTTGCAGTGCTGATCCCTCATCCAGTCTCATGAGTACTCCAAGATTCTCAGCTCCTTTTCTCAGAGTCACTCCCTACTCATATATAAAATCTCTCTCAGGTGCAGCCAAATGGTCTCATTTCTCACCGTTCCTCATAAACAACACTCCATCTTCCATCTCCTCCCTTTGCACAGACTGTCCCTTATCTGTGAAATGGACTTCATCCTCACTTCTGCCTTTTAGATTTTCTTGTTTCACTAATGGCTCAACCTTAACATTACTTTTTTTCCTGATCTTACTGCCTCCCCACACACACACCAAAAAAACAAAAACAAAAAAACACAACTTTATATTAATTTTGTATATATCATGTATATAGCTAACTAAGGGCACCCCATAGAATGGGAAATCCTTCAGGGAAGGCACTGTTCCATCCTTGTGTCCCTGCATTTAATACACTTTATAGTTGAGGAAACTGAGGCAAACAGAGGTTAAGTGACTTGCCCAGGGTCACATGGCTATTAAGTATCTGAGGTCAGATTTGAATTTGGGTCTTTCTGACCACAGGACCAGTGCTTTATCCACTGCAACACCAGCTGCCAGAAGACTTTTTGACTTTTTTAAATGGTGCCATGCACCTCTGTGCAGTTAAATAAGAAGCACAGATATGATATAATGGACAGGGTCTTTAGTTTTACCCTAATACCCTGACAGAGTGATTCTCAGTCATGCTTTGCTGACCCAGTATATAATTCCATTATCTCCTGTATTTTGCTTATGTGAGAAACAGTTTCTGAAGGACTCCATAGGATCATGAATTCAGAGGTGGAAGGTGCCACAAAGACCATGTAGTCTAACCCACTTATTTTACAAACAAGGAAACTGAGGTCTAGGGAGATGGTGACTTGCCCAAGGTCACATAGCTAGTTAGAGTCAGAGTTGAGACTTGAACCCAGGACCTTTAAGCAGATGTGTGATTCTTTAACATTGATATTTCTACCACCAGTATAGCTTCGAACCCCTACTTAGAGCCTTCTCATTTTAGAGGATTCTTGGCCATGACATTGTAGACTTTCCTCCCAAGGTCTTCCTAGATATCCTGGGCTCCAGGGCACTTTGTGGTCAGTCATTCCATCTGTTGTCCCTTCTCATTATCTAAACTAGCCTGCTTCCTTTCCCAGTTATCCATTTATTTGCTGATATTGTTTGCTCCCCTTCTTGATTTTAGGTTGTTATTAGTAATGTACTGAATCCTACTTGTGCTCACCATGAGTTAACATATAATAAAGTGCTTTGTATACCTTAAAGTGCTATAGAAATACTAGTTATTATTATTTTATTATTATAAGTCTCTTTACTGCCCTCTGGGTCTCATGTCACTTTGATTCTTTGTTATTTTTCAGGATTCATAACCACACAGTATCACCAGGACAACATTTCTACTTTAAAAATGAAGTTTTTCACCAGGGCATAGCTTGAAACTGCTACATAATTTATCCAGTGCAGTTGAGCATTCCCTCATCCTCCCATTCAATATGGGCCCAACTTGCTGTCCCTCTTCAGTGCCTATCCAAGAAATATGTACCAGTGTACCAATTTGTTGGGCTGGCCACCCATCTTCATATCAAAATTTGAGCAATGAGTATTATTTATCTATTTAGTTTTTCCTGTATAGACTGTTAGACCGATTTCTTTTGAGTAATCACAGATCTCTTTGAGGACATCCGGCAATGTATTGGGACTTGATGAAATCATCATGATATCATGGGTGACCATGAATATCTGGAGAACCCCAACTATTCCCATAGGGAATCTCTCTTCCGCTTGAACATTACATACTCCATGACAGTGGCAAATGCCTCAGGTGAACATACATCTCTCTTTTAAACCTTGTTTGACATAAATAATCAGAAGGTCATTGAACAGAGTTGGCTCTGTGTTTGCATACATCCAGGAATTTTGTGTCACCTCAATAAATACATATCAAAGAATGTCCCTGTTGGAGGAAAGCCAATAAGACAGTATTTTGCCCTATTGAGTCATGTTTGTTTGATTTTTTAGTCAAGAAATGGCGGACACTGGAAGGTTTTGTGCCTTTCAGCCAATTCTATGACTATAGAATATTATTCGCAAAAGCCTCTCTCTCCCTTCCTCTTATTTTCACCAATAATACCCTTATTATGTGTTTAGATCACTCTTTTTTGCTCTCTAAAGTCTGAGTATACCTATCTCACTGAAGTGGAAAGAGCAAGGCTATTCATGGACTCAGTTCCACTCTGATCATCATGGGAGCTTTGCCTGCTTCATTTCCTACTGAGGAAATTCACCTCTCCTTAGGAAATCTGGTGGCCCCCTGGCTGTGGAGGGCATAGATCTAAGCTCCCTGGCCCACAAAAGGATTGAAGTCATGACCTGAGCCTCATTAACAATGGCATGTAACTGACTGAACTAACCAGCCCATACAGTCAGGGAGCCAAGTAGTCAACCAATTGACTAAATGAATGACCAAAGCCCTCAGCAGCCTATTTATGTAGACTCGTAGACATTCTACCACCTTGAGGCCAAGTGTTTGACTTATTCTTTAAATGGTTTTTTTTTCTTGCAAGAAGGCAATAAATTGCCCTTAGCCGTTTGCATTTAGTGCCAGTGCTACTAAACCTCAAGAATGCAGTACACTGCATGCAGTAGAGGTTCATAAACTTTTTTTTACAGAGAGAACTATCCAGAACTTACACTTCTATTCATTTTGGCGATATTCCTTGGTGGGAATGCCTAAAGAGTGTTGAAATAGAACTAATTAAAATTTGAGCATAAATCATAGGACCAGACACAAGGCAGAGCCAGTGCTCTGGTTAATACAATAACTGGCTTCAGTTATACATATTTTACAGGCATTATTACTTTTATATTAAGTTATGCAAATGAAGACAAACACACAACTATCGAAATGACATGACCCTCCTAATCCATACCATAGTCACCCCAAAGATCTAATCAACCTGTCATTATAAATATTAAGTCTGCGATATAACTACAGCCTTTCCTTATTTGAAAGAAAGTCAAGTTTGGACTACATAAAGCCATCATCTAACAGGAAATATTTTAAATTGACTGCTCCTGCTTTCAATTTTCTTCTCTCCAATAAACCCACTCATTTCTTGGTCCTTCCTCTATCAATTATATGGGAATAGACATTATTGCAATGTGATTTCCAACAGAGGAATATAAAATACAAGTTGAACACCATCAAAGGCTGGCAAATAACTTTGGCCCCAAGAAGTTCCAAAATGGGTCAACCACCCCCTGCCTCTCTTGGAGCCTAATGCCATCATGGCAGAAAGGTGATCACTCAAATATCATTACAGGGTAGGAAAGGTTTGACAGAACCTAAAAATCTGGAAGGAACAGATCTAGGGCCTGGCTGTATGTCGAAGGCCCAAGGACCAGCCCAGCTAGGTTTGGAGAGGTTCATTACTATGTTAATTGAAAAAAGATTGTTTTGTTTTGGTTTTTTTCTTACTGGGGGTAGGGAGACACAGCAATTCTCAAAAGACTATATACTGTCTTAGAGGATCCGAGATCTTCACTGAGCTGTTTCCTCCACTAAAGTCCCCTTCCAACACCTCATTGGAGGGTAGGTGACTGGGGATGTGAAGGCTACACCAGGCAAGTCATAGCAAGCCTCAAGTATAGT